TCGGTTCCAGCTCGCATCACCAGCCTGCCTGTCGGACATTTCACACTGGATAAAAGATCATCATCTTCAGCTTAACCTCGCGAAAACAAAAATGCTTGTAGTTTCTGCCAACCCGACTCTACACCATAACTTTTCAATCCAGATGGATGGGGCAACCATTACTGCATCCAAAATGGTGAAAAGCCTTGGAGTAACGATTGATGACCAACTAAACTTCTCTGACCACATTTCTAGAACTGCTCGATCGTGCAGATTCACACTCTATAACATCAGAAAGATCCGACCCTTCTTATCTGAACATGCAGCTCAACTCCTTGTTCAAGCTTTTGTTCTCTCCAGATTGGATTACTGCAACTCTCTACTAGCGGGGCTTCCAGCTAACTCTATCAAGCCTCTTCAGCTGCTCCAGAACGCAGCAGCGCGAGTGGTCTTTAATTAACCTAAAAGAGCACATGTCACTCCGCTGCTCATCCGTTTGCACTGGCTGCCAGTTGCTGCTCGCATCAAATTCAAAGCTCTGATGTTTGCCTACAAAGCGACTTCTGGCTTTGCTCCTTCTTATCTGCTCTTACTTCTGCAGATCTATGTGCACTCCAGAAACTTGCGTTCTGTGAATGAACGTCGCCTCGTGGTTCCATCGCAAAGAGGGAAGAAATCACTTTCCCGAACGCTCGCGTTCAATCTGCCCAGTTGGTGGAATAAACTCCCTAACTGCATCAGAACGGCAGAGTCGAGTACTTCCTGTTATGGCGGCAAGGTGAGCAGACGCGTTTTTCTCGTGCTTAATTGCTTTTCAATAAATCCTGCATAATATTGCAGAGAGAGGTCATATAAAGAGACAAAATTATAAGCATAAGAGAAAATCACTTCAAACATGCCAAAAAAGCGGCTAAAGAGAAGAAAACGCAGGAGAGCTCCGAGGAGGTATGCCAGGAGCTAACGTTAGCTGAAGGCGAGCCGTGCTCACCGGAGCTGTCACATGCTGACATGTCCGCGGATGTTGAACAAGTCATAAACATGGAAAATCCATCAACAAAGGACCTCATGCTTGCCATAACATCTTTGAAACTAAACTTTAACACAAAAATTGACGGTGTACTGACGGAAATAAGAATTGTCCAAACGGACGTGAAAGACTGTAGTGGGCGTATCATGGAGGCCGAAAAGCGAATATCCACAGCAGAAGACGAGATACAAACACTGAAGGAAACTATCGAAAAATTTGAGAACAAGACAAAAAACCTCAGTAACAAAGTCGAAGGTTTAGAAGGCAGGAGCAGACGTAATATCCTGCGCGTACTGGGCATACCCGAGAAAGTAGAAAGCAATGACACATGTTCCTTTATGGAAAAATGGATAGCGGATACTCTGAAGATAACGCCGCCGGTTTTGGAGCGAGCGCACCGGACAACAGCGAGCCAAAGTTCTACTACGTATCCGAGAACTATCATCATCTAGTGCTTAAACTACAAGGACAGAGAAAACATCTTAAAAGCTGAGCGGATACAGAAAGAGGTGATGTACCAAAACAACAAAATAAGATTTCTTCCTGACATGACAACGGAGGTGTAAAAGCTACAGAGGAATTACGACGGTGTAGGGAAGCGGTTACAGGAACTCGGTCTGGATAAACACCGGGTAATATACCCCGCACGGCTCCTGCTGACCAATGATGACCACACAAGTCATCTTCAATACACCAACGGACGTGAATAAGTACATCAAGAAACTAGAGACAATGACAAAGCATGACTAAATTAAACGTAACTTGATAAAAACTTTTATTTAACTTAAAATTTCGTCAGATGTGGCTGATGGAAAAGGTATGTAGGGCCTAAACTTGCTGGAAACATGACATTGTACTTCTTACAGACTCGATTCTCTTAAAATACTAATATAATGTTTTAAAAAAGTCATGTTTAAATATATATTTTATACCGTTTTTTCTTTTGGCTTCTTCTTAAAGTGCAATAGGCGCTTCTTACATGAGTGATGAAAAATACCTGCATATATGACACAATATACTTTCAGTTGATAGATAAAATCTCTTATCTGGATTAGTTTTTCTACATAGACAAGTAATTGAGCTGAGTTTTGGTTTACAGGAGAATAGTTCCTCAGTATAGTGTGGACCTATTCCTGATAATGGAGGGAAGTTTTTTAGGGGTTTGGGGGAGCCTGTATGTTCTAGTGAGTCAGGCTTGTGTTCTGGGTGGGTTGCTCTCTTTCTTTTCGTTTAGGTTTTTGTTTCTTATGGTACCTTTTTATAGGCTTTTATCGTTATTCTTGCACTAAGAAAATGTATCTTTCTCTTTGTTAAATGTGACAGAAAAAATGACAGACGTTTTGATTGAATGTGTATCTTGGAATTGTAGAGGCCTACGAAAACTAACTAAAACAAGTAATGGATAGAATAAAAAAGATAAAAGCTAAAATTGTGTTCCTGCAGGAAACTCACATGTTAGATCATGAAATAATCAAAAATTAAGCGTAGATGGCCAGGTCAGGTATTGTCTTCAGCTTACTATTCGAACTCCAGAGGAGTTATAATTATGATACATAAGTCTATTCCTTTGCGCATTGATAAAATTACAAAAGACCCCAAAGGTAGATTTTTGATTGTACAGGGAAATATTCTATCAACTCGGATTATTCTAATTAATATATATATAGACCTATCGAGGATAACGCAGATTTTTATAATGATTTATTTTTGAGAATCTCCATATTGCCCGGAAAACACATTATGGCAGGTGATTTCAATTGTGTCTTGCAGCCCAGTAAGGACCGGTCATCTGGGGTTGATAACACCCATGTAAGGTCTAGGAAAGCTTTACAATACTTTATAAAGGAACTTAACCTGGTGGATATATGGAGGTCTCAAAACCCAACAAAAAGAGAATATTCATGTTGGTCGAGTACTTCTAAAGGATACTCAAGAATAGATTATTTTCTGATTTCAGCTGAACTAATTTCATGTATCAGAAATTGTCAATATAGTAGTATTCTTATCTCAGATCATGCCCTTGTATCTTTGACATATGTCGAACCAAAGCTTTCTCATAATCGTACTAAATGGAGATTTCAATGTTAGTTGAAAATGGAGAATGTTAAATGGAGAATGTTATGTTAGTGTCTGTCTTCCTAACTCTATGAGAGAGGCTTTGATCATTCTTTTACCAAAACCAGGAAAACCGAATACAAAGTGTGGAAATATGAGACCTATTAGTCTCATAAACACATACAAAAATAATATGTAAAATCTTGGCAAAAAGACTAGAGACTGTACTTCCAGGCATTGTGGGTGATAATCAGAACAGGTTCATTAAGAAAAGGCAGGGATTTTATAACGTAAGACGTGTTTTAAATATTGTGCATGTCCAAAAAGTGGAAAAGGATACTGCTCTTCTTTCCCTCGAAGCGGAGAAGGCTTTCGATAGGATCGAATGGGCTTATCTGTTCAACGTTCTCATAAAATTCGAATTTGGAAATTCCTTTTTACATTGGATCAAATTATTACATTCCAACCCAATGGCTGAAGTTTTAACCAATGAGATGATTTCTGAGCCATTTAATATTACAAGAGGTTGCCCCCAAGGCTCACCATTGCCCCCCCTTTTATTCATCTTGGCTATAGAACCACTAGCAATAGCCGTAAGAGCTAACAACCATATACAAGGGATTAAAATGGGTGGCAAGGAACATGAAATAGCTTTATTCACTGATGACGGTGTTATTTCTAAAACAATTAAACACCTCTCTCCAAGCACTTTTAGACCTGATCAAACAATTCGGAAACATATCGGGATATAAAGTGAATACATCAAAGTCATCATTGTTGCTGCTTGATAAAGATAGCTGTCCAAATACATCACATTTACTTACCTTGAAAATATCACCCACACTGTAATCCCGAATAAGTTGACAAAACTCAAAATATTTGAGGTAATCAGTTACGTCAAATTTTTTAAGTTATGAAATTAACTATTTCAAGTAAACAGAAACATCAAGTTTTGAGTTTGTTGTACTCGCGCAAGACACTTCACCTAACTTAAAATACCCAAGTTACTCAGCTCATACATTTTAATAGCAATTAACTTAATTGTTTTAATTTTTCCAAACTTTAAATACTTAGTCTCCTAGCTTGAACATTGTAATGGCAATTAACTTAATTTATTTAATTTCTTTTAACTTTAAATACTCAAGTCATCCAGCTCATACATTTTAATTGCAATTAACTTTTTTTAATTATTTATCTCAACTTTACATACTTGGTCACCCAGCTCATACATTTTGATAGCAATTATTTTTTCAAATTAACTTCACCATCTTCAGTTTCACAAACAAAATTAGCCATAATTTAAATCTTTAAACCCCCTAAGTCTATCAAAATAAATCTGTAATTTTAAACACACAAACAATACCATTTTAGACATTTATTTTTTAAAGAAAAATTGTCCAACAGTACTTTCAAATTTGTCTCCTATGCAATTACAAATGTCTTAAAACAATAAAAAACTATTAGACATTGAGATTGATAATAAACAGTATTCTGAAATTAATAAGGATTACCCAAAATGTAAACATGATATCAAACATAAGAGCTCAAGGAAAAAAAAACATAAGTTTACCAAAATTAAATATTAATACATTAATAAGAAGTACAAAACTTACAGTCTTAAGGCATTCGCTAAATAAAGAATAAGTGCACATTCTGTGAAGTGACTTTTGTTTAGTGTAAATATTATATATATTGAATATTATATATATTATTTTTTGAATATATATATATATATATATATATATATATATATATATATATATATATATATATATATATATATTCAGTCTTGGTTGATGATTCTGTCATTTACTCTAACTTATTCCAAACCTGTTTGAGTTTCTTTCTTCTGTTTAACACCTAAAAGGTTATTTTTGACACACAAAAAAAAAAAAAAAGCTGAGACCTGTAACCACTGATTTCAACAGTATTTGTTTTACTATTAGAAAGTCAATGGTTACAGGTTGTCAGCTTTCCTTAAAATAACTTTTGTGTTCAACAGAAGCAAAATATTTAAGCAGGTTTGGGAAAAGTGAAGAGTGAGTAAATGAAAGAATTTTAAGTTTGGACAAACTATCCCTATATATAATAAAATGCACCCTTACTAATTAAAAGTACATACATGTTTTGAAGTTACTACCCCAGTGACAGTCTTTATTAAGTAAAAAAAAAAAAAAAAGCTCTACATCAACTCATTCTTTAAGGTTTCCATGCAAGGACACTTTCTATTTTCTATCATCCATGCCAAGCAAAACTTTTTGCACAAGTTCAAAGTCCTTTACTCTATATTATGTGAAGAAGAGCATACAGTAATCCAAACAAGACAAGAAAGGTCTGGACGTGTGCTGTGGATGGTGTCCAATTCATTCTTCAGGACAACAGAGACCCTCAGTGAATGCAGGGCCAATAAAGCATCCTCTGTCAGCACTTCCGGATTATCAATCTTAAAATATAATTCAAGGATATTAATGTCAGGACAATATCAACATGACTGAGCCAATATTACATGATTCATCAACTAGTCATGATTACAAATATGTTATTAAGTAAAATTTGCACCTCAACTTTCATCTTTTCAATAGAACATGCCTAATTGTGAAAAGAATGAATGAAGTCTTACCAGGGTGGTCCTAAAGAATCCCAAGTCACGCTCACGCAGCAAGACCAAAAGACCGCTGATAACAGTAGTCCGTCATGAACTGACATCATGCAGTTCCTGCAAATACAAAAATTAAGAAAAAAAAAATCTAAATGAAATATCTAATTATATATTAATGAATACTTTAACACATGACCCCGAACATACCTGCTCATTATAAACCTTAAAACGATTAGCCAGGGTATCTGCTGTCTTGCCAGTTTTGGATGCTGTTTGCCTTAAATTGTCATTAAATGAAATAGGTGGTGGTCCAGTTGTGCAAAGAATTTGTGGGGAAAATTCTCATTTGTAACATGTTGGTACTCTGCAAACAACAAAAAAAAAAACAAGAGAGAATTTCATAAAACTAACCCACACCACAAAATATACAATGCTAGAAAATATTTATTAATATTATTATTATGTTTCATTTACTTATTAATTTTTTTACCTGTTGAAATTAGGATCTTCATGTTGTAAACTGAACTCAAGGTCTGGCTGAAGTTTCACTTTCCTTGCTGCAAAAGTATCATTGCAAAATACATTGTAATATTTATTTTATCTGGATATGCCAGGCATAGTAGTACAAAATTAATATTTTACCCACCTTTTACATGCCTCCATTTAAGAACTTTTCTGTAGTCAGCAACAACCGACCTTCAATTCTGTATGTACACAAAGTCACAGTGTCATTTAGCTGAGAGTGGAAGTAGTACAATTGCATGATGTCTAATGTTATCCCCCAAAATGGTTAGCAATAGAACTGATCATCATGTTAGTTGCTTTGATTCGATGAACACGCATTTAACTTAAACAGTATTGAATTTTCTAAAACTGAATAGGACGACAAAGAAATTTAAGGCCTGTTTTTAAAAGCTAGAAATAACAAAACTTACCTTACTGTCTAATGATGCAAAAATATATAGACTAAAAAATATAAATGTGTATATATATATGTGTATATATATATATATATTTTTTTTTTTTTCAAAGATAAAAAAATATTTTAAGCTGCAAAATTTGCACATCAAAAAACTACATCTTGTTTACCACGTCTTGAATATTTTGTTTAATTATATTATTTTATTTAATAATATAGCTTTGTATTACTATTATAAATAGACATACTTTGTTTATAAGGCTGTATGTTCTTTCCAGAGTAAACATTTAAAAAAATAGATTGAAAAAAAAAAAAGTTTGCCATACCTTTAACCTATGTTTGACCTAAATGGCATTTAAAATCATTTAACTGATCGCATTAATCAGGTAATCATTGATATGCACGGATGTCGTCTTAAGCGCAGGGAAATAATCAGTGTTGATTAGTGCTGGTGATTGAGGTAAAGTTAGTTTTATATTTACACATCAGACTTTCTCCTTAACAATATAATTTCAGAAAAGTAGTTTTTAAATATTTTAAATAGTGAAACCATATTAGCAGCCAATGACTTTCAAAGTACAACATTGTTCAGTCAAAAATAAATAGTGCATTTAGTGTAATGTTGTTTTCATGTCATACTTGCATGTGATTTCAGACCGAGTAACGTTACACAAAGTACCATGGTACACAATATATGGAGCGAGTCACAAGTTGTTACTGAAGGAATGTATGAATATAAAACCAACTTTACCTCAATGTGCTAGTGTGAGATGAAGCTCTGCTCTGTACCTGCTCAGGTGAGGAGCGCAGCTTAAATGTTCTCCGTCAGGCTTTCCTCATGCATGGATCAGCATGCAACAAGCTGCGTGTGATAGACAGTTACGTTTTGAGACTACGTTTTTGCAAGTCATCAGAAAATACCGTTTAGTATTTAGGCGGAGATTATTTGAGTTATGATTAACGTTACGTTTCTTGCACCTTTCGTTTCCGTAATGCCAACAGATCGCAAAGATAATACCACATTCACAGGCTGAACGGAGCTCAGCGCAGCGCCATGACTTGTGGTTGTGTAAGAGCGCGCGTCTCCATGACAACTCAAGCACAGGCTGAGGAAAGGCATACTCGCGCCAAGATTTAAAATTTTTTGAAAAATTTAATCTGCCGATTTCAAATGTTTTTGTCTTCATCACACTCTGTTAAAATTCAGAGTTAACACATTACAACTAACGCTAACGTTGCACTGATTCTAACCTTTTAAACAGTAGGCTAATGTTAACGTTAGTTAGCAACAAGTGAGGCTAAACACGTTTTCTGTAATGCATGACATGTAAACGCATTCTGACCAACTCTACATTACATTGAACTGTTACTGTGATTATATTGAATAAAACATACATTTAATATTTCTTGGATTTGTAAATATTTTACTTACTATAGTGTGAAGCGAGGCCGATCCGCCATCTTAAAAAAACGAATGAAGCATGAACCTGAACGTGAACCTGGATGACGTCAGACGCAAAATCACTGAGCTGAAAGATTTTGAGTTAATGAAACTTTAAAGGAACATTTTGTATACATTAAACCCAAAAAACTGTTCAGCTTACTTAAAAGATACAATTTTTACAAACTCAAAAATAAGAAAAAGTTCTAAATACTCATCAAGGTTAATTAAGAAGATAAGCAAATTTTAATGATTTAAGTTAATAGAACTCAGTTCAATTAATTAGATACAGCATTAGGGTTTACAGTGCAGCTTTACATATATGGGTATCAAAATTGTCCCACAATTAGAAAATATAATTTCTACAAATTATAATGTTATGATGGAATCAACATCTAAAGATCTGGAGAGATGGTTATCTTCACCAATTTCATTGATAGGAAGAATAAATATATTGAAGATGAATATTTTGCCTAAATTCATGTATTTATTCCAAAATATCCCCTTGGCGCCACCAGCTGGAGTGTTCTCAAAGATTAATTCATTATTCAGAAAATTTATTTGGAACAACAAATGCCCTCGAGTTCGTCTTTCTCTTCTTTATCTTCCATTTGACACTGGAGGGTTAAAATGTCCCAACCTGTACTGGTACTATTTAGCTGCACAATTAAGAACAATAATGTTTTATTTTTCCTCCGGAAATAAACCATCCTGGGTGGATATTGAGTCATGTGATTTTGCGTTACCCTTAAATTTGTATATATATTCAGATCATTTTAAACAACTAAAAACAGTCACCCCGCACCCTATAGTTTGTAACATGATTGGAGTATGGTATGAAGTTAGAGAGTACATGAAAATAGCTGACTCTTTATCCCAGTATAGCCCCATTTGGGGCAACGCATTATTCAAACCAGCCAGGTACAAAGGACTCAGGATTCCGGTTGTGGGTTGAAAAGGAATTAAGCAAAATTAGTGATCTATTAGAGGAGGGAACGTTGATGTTGTTTGAGCAATTATCTATTAAGTACAATATTCCAAAAAAGCATTTCTTTAAATACTTACAGATAAGGAGTTTTGTTCTTTCTAGGCAGAACCAATCAATAAACTTGCCAGTACTTTCCATTTTGGAAAAATTAATTACCAAGAATTGCAATAATAAAGGGTTAATATCAGTTTTTTACAAATGGCTTGTATCAGGGTCTACTGATTCATCAACACCAAAACTTGAAATTTGGAAGATGGGATTGAATGAGGATATATCTGAGGATAAATGGAGACAAGTCTGTAAAAATTCTCAGAAACTGTTAGGGAGCGTTAGCTTAAAACTACTTCAATATAACTGGTTGATGCAGACTTATATAACTCCTGTCAAACTAAATAGGTTTAATAAAAATATTCCTGATACATGCTTTAAATGCAGAGAGGCTCAGGGTTCATGTGTGCATTGTGTTTGGGAAGGCAACATTATTAGAGACTTTTGGGTGGAAGTGATTAATATTACAAAGATAATTGTACCCTTGAATATTCCATTAGATGCAAAAATGATTTTGCTACATTTATACCCAAAGAACCTTAAACTAAATCTTCAGCAGCGCAAATTAATAGATTATGCTATACTACAAGCTAAAAGAATGATCGCTGGAAAAGACCTGATCCACCATCTACTGGAACTTGGATTAATGCCATGGCACTGTGTATGGCCATTGAAAAAGTAACATATTTTATTAAAAACCAAATGGATGAATATGAAGAAATTTGGAAGCCGTTTAATTACTACATTAATAACAATAATATTGGTCATTTATTACAAGAAGTGTAACTAAGTATAGTGTTTTTATTTATTTATTTATTTTTTGTGTGTGTGTTTCATTTTGTTTTGTTGGATAACGTAACTTTTATGTGTAAAGTACAGTAATGTATACTTGGTTTTTGGGTACCAAACTATATTTGTTTTGCATTTAAATTGTCTCTTGTAAGAGAATTCTGTGTATTTGTATAGGGGAGAAGAGAGTGATGTTCTTTTGTTGGGGTGGGAAATAATTGCGACAAAATGGAATTGTGTTTTTCTGTTACCTGTCTTGTGTAATCAAAAACAATAAACACATTGTTCAATAAACACATTGTTCAATAAACAACGGCAGAGTCACTCGCTGTTTTCAAGAAACAACTAAAAACTCAACTATTTAGTCTCCACTTTACTTCCTAATCTGCAATTGCCTCTCTGGATATACCACTAACTGTACTCAAAAAAAAAAAAATAAAAAAAAAATTTACTAATGCTTTCCTTCTTAGACTTTACAGACCTGAAACTTGCCTATAGCACTTATTCATTGTTCCTCTTGTAGTTGTGTAAATTGCTTCCTTGTCCTCATTTGTAAGTCGCTTTGGATAAAAGTGTCTGCTAAATGATAAATGTAAATGTTAGAATTATAAAGTATCTGCGCTCTGAATGATTTTGAGATATTAGCTTCAAATTTTTTGCATTACATAAAGCAAACAGTGTGTGTGTAACATTTGTTTTTTTAAATAAAAAGTGTTAATGTAAACAACATAAAAAAACATCCCGTAATATAAATAAGTTGTCATTTAATAGGAATATGTCAATAACTCAATTTTGACAAAAATGTCAGAAAGAACCTTATAATTCTAAGGTGACGAATTGGTGAAGTTTGTTCCTCACCACTGTTGCCACTGGCTTGCTTGGTTTGGGACTTGAGGAGCTGCGCATCGATGGATTTGCTTTTCAGTGTTTGGACTTTCAGCAGTGAAAATTAAACCACACTGAATTGAACTAAACCGCACTTCAACTGAAAACTGGACTGACATGGTTTCAATTTCAACTTACTCAAACTTCTATGTTAAGCTGCTTTGACACAATCTAACCTATAAAAGCACTACAGAAATAAAAATGAATTGAATTGAATAGACTGTGCTGTATGAATTAGAGAAATGAAATCCTCAATTACCTTTAAATTACACATCGCATCCATTTCACCGACAGATTACACATAAAAGGCCACAAATCATACCTGAACCCTCACTACATCTTTTGTTGTGACATTCTCAATATACTTCTTGGATTTGTAACGAATATCTTATTCAAAATTGTCTTTCCTGGCATTGTGTTTACATTTTTTAAAGTATATTTTACTGTTTCTCAATAATAGTCAATAATAATGATAATAGTTGTCTACTAAAGATAGAAAGATATTGTGTTAGAATCACATGTCAAAAGATTTTTAATGCAAGCACTTGTCAATTCAATGCCTTTTTCAGTTATTGATATTCAACAAGCTTTTTCTGAGGCAGACCATGACAGGGAATGTTGTTTATTGTTTACGACGATACATTGTAAATGAATAAATCAATAAAAATGACCCCAAAACAGTCTAAGCGGAGTAATACTTAAAGAATATTTATAAAAAAACACGAGGCCCTGAGACGCTGTTAGATATATTCCAAAAGTGACGTCACTCGATAGAACATAAACGCTCGCATAACTTACATTTCTTACATCAGTTCAGTGATCATCCAAGCTACTGTAAGGATCATTATTTGGACGTGTTAACAGATTTTCACCAAATCTAATGGATAACGAACATCTGTCGACTTATTTTACGAGCGAACACATGAGTGAACTCGAAGACTTTCTGAGTGAAGCGACACAGCCTGTGGTTGTCCACGCGATGGCAGCAACAGTACCTGTGTTTGGTGAAGGAGTGAACGGAGAGGTGGCTCCAGTGCTGGAAAACATGGACTTCTGCAGAAACCTCTGTTCTTGGCTGGACGAGGAATGGACTGCGGCGTCTGATGCCAGTACGACACTCGATGAGCCCTTCTCTGTTAATGTGGAGAAAACAACCGGTGAGCCTGTCAGCAAACACTCAAGTTGTCTATGGTTTAAAATAATTATAAAAACTGGGGAAAGAAAAGCTATTAGTAAATAAAAATAATGTATAAATGACAAAAGAGACGTTACATAACCCTAACCCCCAAAAATAAAAAAAATAATAATAATGGGGTTTTAACAGAACATTTGTGTTTGAGGTAAATTGCCCTAAAGGGAGACTTGGGCCTAGTCAAAGCGTTAAATGCCCAGCGTTCACACACGCACTATATTCTTCGGTTTAGTCCCGAATTCATCCGCCTTTCTAGCCACAACTAAATACTCTTATTCAAACCCCCCATAAACACACACACAGACACTCAAGACTAATTTAAAAAACCACAATATATTTCCAATTAAAACTGAAAAAGATGTTCAAACTGGACTTTTTCCTGCATATAAAACTGCGAGGTGGCCACCTCCACCAAATTTTTTACCACCTTTCCCTTTAGACAAAAAAAACAAGGCAGACAGACCCTAAATGATGCTCAAGCATGTTTTTTTTTTTTTAATAATGAAATGTCATGCATTTAATTAAATCAAATGTTAGCCATTTTAAATAGTTTACTTGATAAGATTACAAGAGTTATGCAAAATGTGTTTGTTTCAATAACAAATGTATTACACACACAAAAATACACTACCAGTCAAAAGTTTAGGCTCAGTAGGATTTTTAAAGGTTTTAAAATGAGCTTATCCCGCTGACCGAAGCTGCATTAATCAAAAATACAGTGCAAATTGTGAACTGTTATTGCCTGTAATATAATGGTTCAATAAAAGTTTATTGTTTAATTTAATCATTTACTTCTGTGATTTTAAAGATGAATTGTTAGCTTCATTACTGCAGTCTTCAGAGTCACACGATCCTTCAGAAATTACTCTAATATTAATTATTATTATTAATGTAATAGTAATGAAATCAATAATGACTGGAGTAATATTTTCATTTGAAACTACATACGATAAGAAAGCAGTTATTTAAAATTGTTATAAATATTTATCGATTTAACATTTTTTTTTTCATTTATTAAATGCCATCTTGATGAA